TCTGTGTAGCTTGGCGCCTTTTCTGGAACTCACAGAGATCCGCCTGCCTCTGCCTCCCGAGTGCTGGGATTAAAGGCGTGCGCCACCACCGCCCAGCTTACTCTTATTTCTTAAGGAATACATATCTAAACCCATTTCATTTTTTAATTTCTAACTATTGAAATATATAAACCCTATTATCTTTTTAAATTTAAATATACAGAGCAATCCTAAGACCAAAAGGCATGACAGTTTTTCTTCCTACAAGTGAGTAACACTGTAATAATTAGTGTGTACATCCTGGGAAAAGGTGTTTGTGTATTTTTTTTCTCAAATAAGCCCTATCAAAAACAGATGAAATACATATATGAACAGATGCCCCCAATAGAGGAATGACTTACTTCCACAGGGGTGGATTCAGATATTTCACGCAATATTACTATGCACCGGTTTTGGTTTGGCCTTACTTTCTCTCCCTTCTCGTCCACTTGGACTAAAGGTAAAGCTGTGAAGAGGAGAAAAAAATGATAAAGCACACATTATATAACACCCCAACAGGATGTCAACACTTATTACCCAACATATATTACATGATACTCTAAGAGAACATAAGCACTCATTAACAAACACACCAGAGAAACTTGGACATAGGGCAAATTATTAAAATGTTCAAAACCAGCCAGGTGTTGGTGGCACACGCCTTTAATCCCAGCACTCAGGAGGCAGAGGCAGGCGGATTTCTGTGAATTCGAGGCCCGCTCGGTCTATAGAGTGAGATCCAGTACAGGCACCAAAACAACACAGAGAAACCCTGTCTCGAAAAAACCAAAAAAAGGTTCAAAACCAACACAACTACTGAACTGTTTAAACCCATCTTGTATGTTAAATTTTCAGAAGGAAGGAACATGTAAATCTAAAAGGTCCTGCAAGAACTACCAAATATACACACAATGAGGTGGTAGTTGTAGATCAAACAGATCAAACAGACCAAATACTAAAAGACAGGGCTCATGGTTTTCTCCTTCCTACAGTAAAATTTGACAACTTTCATCAGTGATATTGGGGTGTAATACTAAGAATAACCCAAGAGACTTAGTGTAGTAGAGTATAGACAGATAAAGATCGGATGGAATCAAACCCAACTACACTCCCCATGTCTGTATTCTAAATGGCAATCTGGAAAGTAAACTATTGCCTTGGGAAATGTCATATATATAATGCTTCAAATTTCTACTGACAGTTACACTTACCAATTCTTCAGCTTTTGGTGTAAGGATAAAAAATGAAAAAAATCTTACTTGTGACTAGAAAATCCAATTAAAAGGTTGGCAAAATGGTTCGTTCAATCAGGTAAAGGCACAAGGTGCTCAAGCCCACTGACTTGAGATCAATCCCCATAACTCATGGAAAATCAATTGCAGATGTTGCCCTGACCTCCATGTGACACCATGGCACCCCCCCCATCATACACACACACACACACAAACACACACATGATAAATTTTTAAAAGCATCTTTTAAATCCAATTAAGTTCTAAAGGAAGATATCAATCTTTTAATATTACTGTTAAGTCCAATGCACACAAGAAAAATATTCTGAAATGACTGTCTCATCAATGCACAGGGACTGGACAATATAGACACACACACACACACACACACACACACACACACACACACAGGCTGGTTGTTAAGAGAAATGAGACTTTAATTCAGACACAGCAATGTCTAATCATCCAAACGTTTGTAAGCAATATGGATGTGCTGTCCTGTGTGGCACACTGCACACCACATTCTCTGTGAAGAAGCCACTACAGCTGTACCACATATACATGCGGTTCCAAGGAAGGGAATGGGCAAAAGGCACTCACCTAGAATTTGTAGCTTGAGTACAGAAAATGAATTTTTATAATGAATAATAGTCTGATTTAAAGGAAACCAACACATCACAGCAAAGTCTGTACAGAAAGCATCCCAAGGCCAGCAAAGGTCTGGGAGGAGCAGTCATCCTTAGCCTCAGTGTTGTGATGTTTCACCCATGTACCCATGTGTCAAAACTAACCGGCTACAACCTTTAAATACAGCACTTTATGCCAATCACTCCTACAGTAAATTTATTTTCTTTCTTTTAAAAAAATAAACAAGCTGGGTGTTGGTGGTGCAGGCCTTTAATCTCAGCACTTGGGAGGCAGAGCCCAGTGGATCTCTGTGAGTTCAAGGCCATCCTGGTCTACAAAGTGAGATCTAGGACAGGTAACAAAACTACACAGAGAAACCCTATCTAGAAAAACAAAACAAAACAAAAAACTAGAAAAGGTGCTGAGGTCCCCAACATCAAGTAGGATACAAATAAACCACAATTTTGATACAAAAGGAAACACTTTACAGAGACTTGTATCCCTGAAGTGCCTGCAGACTTACTATGGAGTAGTTAAACATTCATGTTATGTGTCAACTTTCCAAGAAACAGCTTTATTCACAGTAGCTAAGGAAAAATCACAGCAATATTTCATCAAAACTTAAGCAACTAGTTGGGAAGAAGCCCATTTAGTAGCTAAACAAATATATTTGACTTCAAAAATGTCATTATTTATTTTAGCTTTCAATAATTTAGCAGCTGTCTTTAAAATAAAATCTCTAATGAAAAGATTCCTTTTCTTTCAATTAGCCTATAATCTGCTTGAAGTTTCGCTACAGGGGCAATCAATGCTCCTGTTACAGAGAGCTGGTCAGAAAAGAAAGGAGGCCAGAAAGTATCTCAGGCTTCTGGTGAAAAGAAGGCTCATAATAAGACAGATAATATGAAGACAACAATCTTTGCACTTCCAATTGTCATCTACTTACATCTTAGCACTTCAACAATCAAATCCACATCAGTACTGAGTTTCTTGATATGGTCAAGGTTAGCTACCGTTGTAATTGGCACATACTGATCACTGTCCATCTGGGATATAAGATACATGTCGCTAGCAAGATTCTCCCTGTTGAAAGAGAGCAAACTCTTTTAACTAATAGTTCTTTAAAAGAAGTTTCACCAGAGGCATGAATGTGGTGTGGGATAGCTTTGGGGTGAGAGCTAAACTCCATCTGATATTTGCTCACTTGATGTAATCAAAATTAGCCAGTGGAGTAGTTTGTTTAAAATGCAGTTATAGCCAGGCATGATGGTACATGCCTTTAATCTCAGCACTTGGAAGGGCAGGCATAGGTGGATCTCTCTCTTAATTGGAGGCCAGTCTGGTCTACAGAGCAAGTTCCAGGGTAGCCAGAGCTACACAGAGAAACCTTGTCTCAAAACACAAAACAAAGAAAGATACAGTTATGCCTCATTTTTGTTCTGGACAGTATTTGAGTAATTTATTAAAAGTGTATATATATTTACAATAGGAAATCCAGCTAAATGAATAAGAAAGCTACAGGAAATATAAAAGGCCAGGAGAAAGTCAGTGCCCAAATGCACCATACAGTCTGGATACATGTTAAAGGCACTGCATCGGCTCTGGCTCTAGGCAGCCAGAGCTAACAAGAAGGAAACAGGATCAGCACCATTAGCCAGATCAGAAGGTACACCACTCCACCAGCAATTAGGACAAGATGCGCTGCTTCCTGGCATTTGAGTCAAAGAAAATGTTTCCTGCAAATTCTCATGAGAAAGACTGTGTAATATAACACACAAAGTCTCAAAAACACCACAAGACTAAAATACAGTAAGGGGTTTCCCAGGCCCTTCTCACAGTGTCTCTCAGTGAAGGTCAGTCAGAGAGTTCAGTCAAAGAGACTAACTCACTTGAGATCTCAGATGACGACCGGGGACACTTGTAGCTATTGGGGTGTGAACAGCAGGGAGCTGTGCTTTGCAACTTTGGCACAAGATCTTTCATTTTTACACCATGACATGAGCTAAAACTCAATACTGTACTGAGCTGTGATGAGAGGAAGGAAGGAAGAAGGTCCAGGCATTGACTGTTCCTTCATCTTAAATAGGGCCTCTTGTCTTTTTGAGACCTTCATGAGACATGTCCTCAGAGCTGCAGGGGACTTCACTTGTGGCCAGTTACCTACTTCCATGCTCAAACCCACCCCCATGTCTACTAACTTAAAAGTTCTACTATATTTTTCAACAACAAAAATGTCATTTAAGGGAAACAAAGCCTAAATGTACCTAAATGTGAGTACTATATAAATAAAACAGCCCCTTAAACAGTGTTTTGGCCATTTATCTGAAGCCCCTATGGCAGTCTGATTCATGGCATATTGTGCATATGCAAGAATCCATAGTGAAACAGAAGCCTAGATAATCATTACCAAAATGGATCTGAGGCAAACTCTTGGGGATCCCTGGCCTGAGGGTCACCACCAGTTCTTTACAGCACTTTTGATGAATAGACAGATATGAAATTAGTTATTCATAAACATACTACTATGAAAACTCACATATGTAACCAATAATCAGTGTACTACAAAAGATGTTAGGCATTAGAAAAATTACTAAAAGCCTTACCTAGATAAGCAGAATTCCAATGTTTTTTTAAGTACTTCCCGGGGGTCTTCCTGGCTTTCTGGTTGAGACTCATTTCCTCCTATATAGAAATAATGAACAACTCAGGGAAAAAAAATAGCTTAAAATTTACCAAGCAGGTAATTCAGTACAGCATTCCAGTGTTTTTGCCTGCATATACACACAATAGTGTGAAAAGTGCTATTTTCCGCCCCCACTAGAAAAAAGTAAACCATGAAAAACAAAACAAAATCACTTCCCCTAAAAAAGTTGAGCAAACAATGATTAAACTTCATTAACGGAGTTTAGCAGTAACTTTGTCAGCACAAAATAGTAGGCACAAGCTTCCTTGGTGTCTTGCCTTACCTCAAAAAGGACTTTTTAGGTAACAGACAAGAACACTGACTGACTTTAAATAACAGTAAAATATAAGGAAAGAATCAGAACAAAGAAAGGATAAACACAGGTGAAAGCTAACCACCGCAGAGGGAAACAAAGGAAGTTTGGGGATTGCTGACACACAGGCCTTCTGAACTAGGCTCTATGGGAGAGTTTTAAATGTGCCTTCCAATTCCCAGCTAAAGGGACAAGCTAGAAACCATCTTATTAAAGAGTCCTCAAGAGAAGACACCAAAGAAGTCAGATTCTCAGACACAAAAGCTCATTCTGCTCCAAAGGAAAGAGTTCAGATGTTTGGTGGCAGTGTAGCTTATTTATGTGAATGAGGTCACAGTCATCACCAGCAGGAGAGGCAGGGCCTCTGGCAGAGTGAAGTCAAGTTTGGGCTGAAGGCTCCTGACGCCCTTAGCACTGAGACATCTTATGAACTAGACTTAATATCACAGAGATGAAAGGCACCGGAAGAGAGTTCGTACATAAGTCAGCCAAGCAAACACAAAAGACATTGTATTCTAAAAGTCAAGGTTAAAGACCATGAAAGGCAACGTCAAAGTAGGAGAATTTAGAACAGACAGTTTACAATAGTGTTATACTGAGCTTTTTTCCACAAAATCCATTTTCACTAGCAGAAAGAAACAAATTACACAAACTGCTAAAACAACCAAGGAACTAAACAAGACCATGAGACTTGAAAGTGAAGACATGACTCGTCAATCCCTGATCTGGAGACTTGCCCTGGTTATCTCATTTAAACTCACAGTCCATTCTCCACATTGAAGAGATACTTACTTGTTACAGGAACTGTGAATTCAGCCTAAATGAAGCAAGGCCCTGCCTTCAAGAGGCCAACATTCCATTGAGAGAGGCAGACAGCTATAAAGGAGCCACTGCCAGCATAATGAGACTGAAGTGACCCAGAGGAAAACAGCCTGGGCAAGGGGCTAGAGCAGCATGGTGCTGCCCCACATGGAAGGTGCCATCTGAACCAATGGAGGGAAATGGAAGTGAAGTTCCAGGCAAAGGTCCTGAGAGGCAAAGTCAACAGACAGTGAGGAGGCTGGCAAAACTGAGGAGTGAAGGAACTCAGGAAAAATAATGTCAAAGAATGAAGCTTGTGTGAGTCAAACCAAGGAGGCTGCTTGAATTTTAATTTGAATGTGACTGGGAACCGATTTGGGGGTGGCATTTTGGAAAGACCACCATGGTTCCAAGTGAAGTCACAGCAGTATAATTAGAAGGCTAACACAATCACTGAGGGCAGACCATCATTCAGCACTTAAACCATAGTGTATTGAAGCCAAGTAAGAAAGACAAAAGACCTGCCACTTAGCCCCAGGGCATTCCAACCTTCCTCTAGGAAGCAATAGGAAAGCCAGTGGCTGCAGAGCTGCATCTGGTGGCTCATAATGACTATCACAGATATATATGTGAAGTAGACTGTGGGAGATGGGGGGGGGGGTAGGGTGGGAAGAGAAGGAAATAATTTAGTGGTATGAAGGATTCACCAACTAAAAATGACATATGGGACTGAGGAGATAGTTTAGTTGGTATATGCTTGTTGTGTAAGCATATAAGGACTTGAGTTCAACTCCTACACCCATGTAACGAAGCTAAGTGTGATGGTACACATTTGTAATCCCAACATTAGCTGGGAGAGGGGCTGGGGCAGAGATAGGTAGATCCTTGGAGCTTATTAGCCAACTACTCCAGCCTAATCAGTAAGCCCCAGATCCCACTGAGAGACCTGGTATGGCTCCTGAGGAACTACACTAGGGTTGGCTTCTAGTCATATGTATATACATGTACAACACATGCACACATACAAACAAACGAAAACCCAAAACAGACCTGGCCAGAATAAGATTTTTAAAGAGCTGGATAAATGCAATTCTCGAACTGTAAGGACAACCATGAGCCTTGAAGAGATTCAGGAGGGACGGATCAGGAGTCTGGGACAGTTAACACAGAACACTGTTCTTTCTGAAGGACTGAGCTGAAGGGACACAGGTGTGCTATGTAAGCATGAGGGAAACCGATCTAGCAGTGCAGGACGCTCATGACCATTCGGCAGGCGGCAGTAGAGACAGAGAAGTGCTCATATGAGGACAGGCTACTGTGACATCAGTGAGACTCCAAATGACTTACCACCAGCAAGATGTAGCTCTAGGGACGGAGATTATTTTCTTTTTAAAAATAACAAACATAAAAAAATAAATAAAATAAATGAAACATTAATTTCCTAGGTATGTATGAGCCACTCCTCAACCCTAACTACAGAACTGTTAAGAAATCAATGTGACTTCAGCAGGTAATCAAGGTCAACAACCAAAATGTTAAGTTTCTTTGACTGTCACCAAGTGTATATATACTTTTGTCACATGATAAAAATGAGCTTTATCTTTATGGACTTCTCCCTACTCCAAATAGAAACATGGTGATGGGAATTACATCAGAAGACTTTTCAACAGGAGTCTGTATCACAGAACACATAGCTGCTCCTCCTCAAAACTGTTAAGATTACCAAAAACAAAGGAAGTCTGAGAACTGTTAAGAGTGAGGAGCCCAAGTAGCATAATGACTAAATGTCAAGGCAAGATTCTGCACAGGTAAAAAGACATTAGGTAAAATGTGTCACTGCTCACTTAGGTCTGTGGTAAATACATCCATCATATAAGATGAGAACAGAAAAGACTAGATGTGAGGTGTAGTTCCTTCTGAAGGCAACTGCTGTCAAGGTGGACAGTGTGCTCTGACATACTTGACAATGGAGCTTCCTTTAGCCAGAAGGACAAGAACTGTCTCTAACAGTCTGACGCCCTGTGTAAGCTCTAGGTAAAATTCATATAACAGTGCCAACTCTATGACTAACTAGGCTTCCAGGAGTTTTAAACTCTCGTCAGTGCAGTTTGAGCCTCTAGAAATTTACCAACCACAGTTCAGGTTTCCTACTGTGGCTCTGGCTCCTAAAGACAGAGCTCTCTATTCACCTCTCTATACACTTCTCTAGTTAGCCTTGAGCTTACTCTTCTTTCTAGAGCCAAGGATATTGCAGACATGTTAGTTCCAGAGCCCTCAGGTGTGGCACCGGAAGCTCAAGCACCCTCATGTCCACAGACATCCTCTGCTGCTGTGTCTACTTGCTCAGGTCCTTAGTGGGTGGTTTTGCTGAGTTTTGTTGGGTGCAAGTCCTTACCAGATATGTGATTACAGATATTGCCTCTGTTTGCAATAGCAATTTAAAATGTTTATATAGCTGGATTTATGAAGTTTTTCTCTTACTGGTCTTCCTTTAAAGGTCATACACAAGAAATCTTAATATAAGATTATGCAAGTTTTCTTTTATTAGTTTTATTGCTTAAGGTTTTTTTTTTTGTTTAATCTATGATCACTTGAAATTAATTTTTTGTTTTGTTTTGTTTTGTTTTTTGTTTTTTCGAGACAGGGTTTCTCTGTGTAGCTTTGCGCCTTTCCTGGAGCTCACTTGGTAGCCCAGGCTGGCCTGGAACTCACAGAGATCCGCCTGGCTCTGCCTCCCGAGTGCTGGGATTAAAGGCGTGAGCCACCAACGCCCGGCAAAATTAATTTTTTATGTATGGCATCAAACATGAATGAGGTTGTTTTTATTTCTAGTATATGGCTATATATACTCTTCCAGCGTAAGTTGTTGAAATGCTATCTTTTCTTCTGCCTCCGCAATTCTGTCAAGGTAATACTGGCATAATGACAGAGCAATAAACAAAAATAGATGAAAGACCTAGAAATAAATCATGTGTGTGGTCAAATGATCTTTAACAAGGATGCTAAGGCTGTTGAAAGGAGAAAGGCAGTCTTTTCCACAGTGCTGAGAAAACTCAGTATCTATATGCAGAAAGAATGAAATGGTTTGGAGGTGGGCTGGAGTGATGACTCAGAGGTTAAGAGTACATGCTGCTTGAGCCGGGCGTTGGTGGCTCACGCCTTTAATCCCAGCACTCGGGAGGCAGAGCCAGGCGGATCTCTGTGAGTTCCAGGCCAGCCTGGGCTACCAAGTGAGCTCCAGGAAAGGCGCAAAGCTACACAGAGAAACCCTGTCTCGAAAAAACAAAAAAAAAAAAAAGAGTACATGCTGCTCTTGCAGAGAACCAGAGGTCAGTTCTCAGCACCCATGTCAGGTGCCTTACAACTGCCTATAACTCAGGGAATCCAATGCCCTATTTTAGCCTCTGTGGGTACCTATACACATATCCATATGCACATACACATAAATAAAAAGTAAAATCTTAACAAAAAAAATGAAAGGGACAGCATAGCCTTATAATGTGTAAAAAAAATCAAAACCATAAAACTCCTAAATGGAAGCAAAACATAAATAAAAAAAAACCTTCAGAATATTGGACTCTACCTTATTACAGATTCCATAGCAAACAAAGCCCAGGCTACAAAAGAGAAAACAGATAAACCACACTTCATAAAAATTAGACATTTTGTACACCAACTATCAACTAAGTAAAGCAACCAAAAAAAAACCCGGGAAAAAGTATCTGCAAATCCTGTTTGATTAGGGATTAGTAATGCAGAACCAGCAGCATCACTCACAATATCCAAAAGGCAGAAGCAACTCCAAATGAATAAAGAAATGTGGTACAACAAAATGGAGTACTATTATTATTCAGCTCTGAATAGGAAGCAGATTCTGACATATGCTACAGTGTAGATGACCCTTAAGGATATTAAGCCAATAATGAAATAAGCCAATTACAAAAATGTATATATATATAATGTTGTCTAATTCCACTTTATGGGGTTCCTAAAGTGAGCAAATTAGAGAGACAGAAAAGAGAATTGGTGCCTGTCAGAGGCTAGGGAAGGAGAAATGGACAGTTATTTTAGTGGGTACAAAGTTTCAGCTTTTTATAAGACACAAAGAATTTTAAGTCACATAATGGCAATGGTTGTACAACAGCATCCAGTACTACTGAGCTGTATATTTATATATAGTTAAGGAGCTGAGAGTTTGGTCAATGAAGAACATATGCTTAGTACTTACAAAACCCAGGATTCTATTCCCAGCAAATACACACACACACACACACACACACACACACACACACACACACACACACACACACACACTGTTAAGATGGTAAATTTCATGCTCTATGTTTCATCATGTAGAAAAAAAGAAAAGAAAGAAAGAAACCAATAGGAAAAGTTGGGCATGGTGGCACACTTCGGAAATCCCAGCACTAGGATTTATGTAGAAAGACTACATTAATCAAAAGAAAACATGGGCAGCTATATTTGTTTCAGAAAGAGGAGACTTTAAAGCAAGGAAAACTGCTTTAATGATAGAAAGTCAAATCTCCATGAGGATATAATAAGGCCTAATATATATACACCTAACAACAAAGCATCAAAACAGGAGGCTGACACAGCACAAGCACCACGCAGACAGCTGGTGACTCCTTACAGACTGAACATACTTTACCATACAGTGATCATACTCCTGATGTTTAACCCAAGGACTCCAAATCTCACATATCTACATAAAAACCTGCACACTAATGTGCATCATCACTTTATTATTGTCAAACCCCAAAGGCAACTATCTTTGAACAAATGACTGGATAAACTGGGCTTTGCTAGAATAATTCAGGCTAAAATAGCAGTGAGCCATGTGAGGACATGGAGGGACCACAAATGCATACTACTAAGCAGAAGAGGTCAGGCTGAAAAGGCTACCCAGTGAATGATTCCTCTCTGGTACCCTGAAAAAAGGTTACAAAGACAAAGTAACAAAACAAAACCCCCTAAATAAAACAAACAAAAGCAGTGCTTGCCCAGGGCTGGGGAAGAGGGGTTGTTTCAGAAAACACAGCTGACTGCTTTGGCAGTGGGACTATCCATGAGGTTACATACTGACAACAAATGTTATTATGTGCTAGCAATGTACAATACCAAGAAGTAAGCCTAATATAAACTGTAAACCATGGACTAGGTGATAAGGATGTTTCCACACAGGCTCATCAGTTGTAAAACACAACATTCTGGGGAGTGGTACTGACAGTGTGGGAAGCTACACAGTGTCCGGGCTAGCACATATGGAAACAGTACCGGACTTTCTGTTCTGTTCTGCTGTGAATGTAAAACCACTTTTCAAAAAAAGTAACGCCTTTCCCGAAAACTGATAAAGTGTGTCGAGTAAGTGACTGTGGAATCCCTGTCCCTAAATGGGACAGCTATAGCACCTCTTCCAAGGGTCAGATTACATAACAGAAGATGGAAGGTAAAAATATAATCTTGCCGGGCATGGTGGCACATGCCTTTAATCCCAGCACTCGGGAGGCAGAGGCAGGCTGATCTCCAGGCCAGCCTGGGCTACAGAGAAAGTTCTAGGATAGGCTTCAAAGCTACACAGAGAAACCCTGTCTCAGAGGGAAAAAAAAAAAATATAATTGTCAGAGGCTGGGAAAGAGTGCTGCCAAACAGTGTCTTCTGCATATGACATGGCACTGAACTGACCTCGTTGAGCCTATTATCATTTCATTCATGACTGGGAGAAAGAAATTCATGAAGCTCTCCCCTCATCGTTAAGAGGTGCTGGGAGGCCAGGTGGTGGTAGCACATGCCTTTAATCCCAGCACTCGGGAGGCAGAGACAGGCGGATCTCTGAGTTGGAGGTCAGCCTGGTCTACAGAGCGAGTCAGGAAAGGTTCCAAAACTACATAGAGAAACCCTGTCTCGAAGAAAACAACAACAACAAAACCAGAGGTGGTGGGAGAGGGGCTATTTTCTTCAGAGAAGCTACCAATGTCCCAGTGACAAGCCTTAACTCATGTTCAGGAAATGACCCTAATTAAGCCCAGCAGATAAGACATCATGGTCAGAAGGGTCACTGGGAAGAAGAGTTTGAGAGGAGAGGGGTGACAAAAGGGTAATGGCTGGCTGAGCTCCTGGGAACTGCTGACCCACTGCAGTGGAGAGAGCTTCACCGTTCCTTTCTCCTTACCCTTCCCTTCATTCCCTTCCCTCCACAGTGCTGGGGTCGAATCCAGTGCACAAGTCAGCATTTCACAGACTGACTAGGTTTTGTAGATCATACCAGAAACACGACTGGAGACAAGGAATCGCTTTCCCACTACCTATGAGCATTTCACATAGGCACATACCCTGGCTTCCAAAGAGAATTCAAGTCTTCCTGTTTTTTTCTTCAAAGAATAGCTTTAACTACTCCTTTTACAAAGAACCAACTTCTTTTGAATTTAGACTTTCCTGATATTTAACACGTTATTTTATTTTTTGATACTACCTATTTTGTATCTTTTGCATAATTTCTGTTCCCAGTTTGAGATTTAGATACAGTCCAAAGTTTAAATTATCTTTGATGCTTTTGATTTTACTATTAGGATCCCCACCTGTTATTCTTTTTTGAAATGTACTTTAAAAGTCCAGCATTCCCTTGTTTTGCCATCAAAAAGTCAACCTCACCATCACTCTGTTTTATCCCAATGTTTTGTCATTTCCGAGGTATTAACCAATTAGTGTTGGGTTAATAAGGAAGAGTTGATCAAATCAAATTGCTACATGCTAGTGAACCCTTGCTTATACGGAGGTTTAAATCACTTCAATTCAAGGCTAATTCATACTTGCCAGAAAGCAATGTGATTTGTTTTTCTTTTATAAGTTCTTGCCTTATTCATTTGACTACAGATTTTTTTCACAATTAAAATATTACTTATTGCTGGGTGGTAGTGGCGCACGCCATTCGGGAGGCAGAGGCAGGTGGATCTCTGTGAGTTCAAGGCCAGCCTGGGCTACAGAGTGAGTTTCAGGAAAGATGCAAAGCTACACAGAGAAACCCGGTCTTGAAAAACCAAAAAAAAAAAAAAAAAAAAAAATTCTTTATGATAATTTTTTAATTGATTGGAAATTCACCCCAATCCTACTCATCTCCCAGTCCCTCTAAATCTGTCCCTCCCATTTGCAGCGCCCCCACCAAAGAAAGCCAAAAAATAATAAAAGTAAGATAAATAATAATAAAGAAGAAAAAGAAAAACATTTCGCTCCTCCGTCTTTCCCATCTCTTCATCCTAGTGGCATTGGGAGCTGCTGTGCATCATACAGTACATCCCTCTGTCCAAACAGCTTTACTTGAAAAAGTTCACTGTGTAAAGAGCTACTGGTCAACCTCGAGGCCTCTGGCCTTGGCACACCATCAATACTGGCCCCCCACTGACATTCCTCTCCCATAGCTTGCTGTTGCCGGGAATCATGGCTATCCTGCAGCTATGATCAGTCCCTTCACACACTCCAGCAGGTCACAGATGGAGTAGATGTTGGGGTGTGCCCTGGATGTGTGCCTTAGCGGCAGCTGAGTTCATTAATCCAGACTGTTGGAACCACTTCTCTCAGGCAAGGGGCGGAGCCAGCTCTCTCCGTGGTGAGGGGTGGGGCAAGCTTTCCCATGCCAATTGACCACAGATTTAAAGCAGTAGGCTCTAACATAGTTTAAAACAAACCTGGTGCTTATAAAACACATTTCCCATTTAAGTGATAATGCTGAATTTTGTCGTATCTGATAGTCTTAAACTAAATGTGGTTTCTGTGGATCACTGTCTCACACTGGCATCTTCGGGTCGGCCAACTCCATTTCCTGCTCACTAAGACAATGCTTCCCTATACTTCCAAAAGCTGACAGTGAGCAATGCAGATTGAGGAGACAGGACTTGATTTAAAACCTGAGGCAATTACACAGCGCAACAATAAAAAAACGAAAATAAAGAAGAGAAAAAATGTGTTCAATAGGTTTCCTTCCCCAAGCTTCTTACTTTCTTCCTGCCACTCACTGCACTGACAAAGAGGACACAGGTCAAATCATCTGGCTTCCAAGATTCAGCAGTGAGGCTCCAATTGCTTCATCCACCACTGGATAATCTCGGTAACTAACACTCGGCCCGCCCAACATGTCCAACCCTCAGTTCCAGCACTAATTCTCTCTCTCTGTCCATCTTAACATTTCACCCTCCCTGTCAACAACCTTGTGCTTCCCCTAACTTGAAGCCATCTGTCTCCAAAGCTAACTGATAATCTCCAGAACACCTTCCCCTCCAGGGTCTCATTTCTGAATCGATCAGTTTCAAGGAACATTAAAAGGAGGCAATGAAAAGTACACTGTTTAAAGACAGAGTAAGAAACTCATTTTTAAAAGTGAAGTAAGTAAAAACAAATCCATAAAGTAGGCTTACCCGTATCATTACTTTCAGGCAGAGGTTCATATTCCGAATGATCCAGAGCCAGAGTGCTCATGTCTGTCTGGTCCGCCTCCTCTAAGTCTGACAGTGTGGCATTCTCATGACTTTTGTCACCATCGCCATTGGTATCCAATCCTGTAATTGCAAGTTTATCCCAAAAGCCTGTGTTAGAAGAACAACTTTCCCTTAAAATAAAGCTTACATTGGTGGTTACTCAAAGTTTTAACTGGATTGTAAAAGCTTCCAAGGCTCTAGTTCAGTGGTCCTCAACCTTCCTAATGTTGTGATCCTTTAATACAGTTCCTCATGTTGTGGTGACCCCCAATCATAAAATTAATCATTGCTACTTCATAACTGTATTTTTGCTACTGTTATGTATCTGTGTTTTCTGATGGTCTTAGGCTGGCCCCTGACTCCCAAAGGGGTGGCAACCCACAGGTTGAGAGCTGCTGCTCTAAATACTGTCACAGACCAGGACACAAATGTGAATGGAGAAGACATTAAAATGTTAAGGAAGGCAAAGACTTAAAAGCAGGCTGCTCCAGGTTATGACCAGGCTCACTACTCACCCTGCTGGTCGCAGTCTGCAGGATGGCCGGGGGCCTCCTCCCACGAGGCATTCACACCGACAGCCGCACTACTCGCTTCCAAATGTAACATATGAGTCCCCCATACTTTTGCATTAGGGTTTAGCTCTGAAACCTTAGTTGTTGGGACCTAGAAAAAATGTTCACACACACATATATATGTATCCTAAATTCAACCAAATGCTGCTTTGTTAGGTTATAGTAAAAAACAAAACAAACAAACAAACAAACAAAAAAAAAACAAAAACAAAAAACCTAAATTAATGTTGAGAACATAGGATTAAAAGGCCAAGCCTAGCTATTCACACACACCTTTGGGATGAAATGAGGCTCAAAAAGACACAAAGCTGATGTAGTCAGAGCTCCACCTAAGTCACTCTTACAGTTTCTTCTAAGCACAAAGCTGTTACGCACTGCAAATGACAGACAGACTCCTTCATTTCACCAAGTTCAATCTCACAACTGTATAACCAGTGATTTCCTGTGTGACCTAGCACAAATCCCAATTTATAGATTTACAAATTCAATACAATGTAGAGGAAAACACTTTAATTATAAAGTTCCAAGCACATAAGCAAGAGACAGAAACATTAAAGCTCCTCCTAGCAGCAGCCAGAGCTCCTGAAGCACAGGGGAAAGCTAGAGCATCCACTAAGGCAGGAGAACACCTTACACTCTCAGCAGAGCTACTCGCTCCCATTCCTGAGAGCCTCCCTATCACCTCGGCGGCGGCGGGGTGGCAGCTTCAGAACAACTCCCCAGAGCTACTACAGGGGCTGCAGGTGATGCTGACACTTCTAGTGTAGGGCTCTCACCTGTGCTAACACCACTGGGGCTTGAGGCCAACATCCCACTGACAGCTGTGTAGGTATTTAATCTCTATAAACATCACCTGGAAATGACTTCGGCTGGTCTCACTTTTTAAAGTAAACAGAAATCTTCCTTTTCTTTCTTTCTTTCTTTTCTTTTTTAGTTTTTTCGAGACAGGGTTTCTCTGTGTAGTCCTGGCTGCCCTGGAACTCAATCTGTGGACCAGGCTGTCTTTGAACTGAGAGATCTGCCTGCCTCTGCCTCCCAAGTACTGGGACTAAAGGCATGTGCCACAATCACCTGGCAGAATTTTTCATTTTTTGGTGGTGGATAACTGCATAAAAGTATATTTGGTAGTGAAAGTGTAAAATCCAATGTGAAGCTCCACAGGGTCAGAATGGCTATTCTAACTGTAGAGCAGTTCACTCAGATTTATAGACCTAGGCTCTGGTTAAATCTGCATGAAGTTTTTTTATTTGCTGGTACTTTAAAAAAAGAAAGAAATTCAGATATTCATAATCTAAAAAATAAAATGATGAAGTTACTGGCTTAAGTTACTCAACATGAAGGATGGTACACATTGAGTGCTCATTAAATCATTAACTCACACGCTACAATAACAATAGCACCCAATGCTCAGATGCTGGAGACCTCATCCAAAGGTTTCCAGTTCGGAGTATCACAGCACTCTTACAGGATGACCCCCTCTTAGGTCTTGTTCAATCCCAGACACATCAGCTGCTTGCTGTTTCTAGCACCTCAACACCTCTGTCCTTCAGTCAGTATGTCTAGCATATCCTTGGATTTCCTTTGGGGATTACAGCCTCTGCTCATGCACTTTACAACTTATAATATCCCCTCACTAAGTGGCTACTTTCCATTTCCATGGCTTTTTTTCCTGACATAAAAACCTAGCTTTCAAAAAAACAAACAAAAAAAAAAAAAAAAAAAAGATGTAGAGTGTTTCGCCGGGCGGTGGTGGCGCACGCCTTTAATCCCAGCACTCGGGAGGCAGAGCCAGGTGGATCTCTGTGAGTTCGAGGCCAGCCTGGGCTACCAAGTGAGCTCCAGGAAAGGCGCAAAGCTACACAGAGAAACCCTGTCTCGGAAAACCAAAAAAAAAAAAAAAAACCTAGCTTTCTCTGCTTACAAACCCTGAATGTTTCCCCAACTCAATGAAAAATAAAACATGCCAGTGATAGTTTTTTTTTCTCAAATATTAACTGCAATTTGCCATTGCACTTCTTCAACAAACCGCTTGCCTTTCAATTACACCACCAGCCATGGTACCATGAAGTAGAGCCTCCTCAAGAAGGGACAAGGGGTCCCAGTCCTGGATGTACCTCAAACTTAGTGTTCTAAGATGGGAACTTAGCCACGCTGTGTTGCTCCTGGGTTCCGCATAGACAGTGCTCATTTCTGCACTCCATAACACATGAAGCACCATTAATGAGCTGTATCAAGGAAGCATGCAGATTTGTAATTACAAACAGGTAAATTAAATCCACACTGTCTCAGGTAAGGGAAGCCACCAGTGAAAACCCTGGAACTGTTTCTGACACTGCAAGCAGAAGGCTTCTGGGTCGACTAGGATTATATGTTCATACTCTAGAAGCAACTCTGACCTGCTGCTCCCACCACTCATTGGGCAATAACTAAAACACCATGCCCACAAAACAAATGCCTAGTGAGTACCCATCTGGAATTCTTTATTTTGTTAAGTATTTCTAAAAAGCCAGAATTCTCCTCTGAGTAAGTGGAAGCACAAAACACCGATTCTTCAACCACAACTAAACATCCAATTCATCTTTGGCATCTGGCTTTTCTGTAAAAGGTTAGTCTCATCTCTTCTCTCTCACACACCCATCTAATAAGTACATCCTACATACTCACAAATGTGGCTATGGAAGCACTGTGCTAAGCAATCAGAACACAATGGTTGGTGCATAAGCACCTACAAAGCTAAAGAGACTAAGACATTGCCTGTTATACACATACACAAACACACACAGAGGACGTGTGTGTTAACAGCTTTACTGAGGTATGTATAACTTACATCTTTTTAAAGAATCTCACGTATTTTAATGTATACAATTTTCATGAGGCTGAATTCATGAAACTATCATCAGAACCCTATTAATTATTTCTTTTATTCTCATTCCTTCTTGACTACCTATATAAATCACCTTTTGGATTAGGTCCAGTTCTCTTCCCAGCACCCCAAACCACAAAATCAACCTTTCCTATTTCAGTTTCTTTCAATATATTAACAAATTCTTGTCACATGCACATACTACACATTTTTTAAATTCTCAATACCAACTAATGTTAATCGTTTTCATTTTTAGTGCCTTTTGCAGCTGACCAGCATGAACAATATATGTTCTGTAGTTTGTAAAGACAAATTACATGGCTTCTAGGCTGTGACGTGCCCACAAGCAGCACTCAAAAGTTATTACAGCATGGTATAGTCAGTCTTCCACGGTGTCCACAGCTGGACTGTGTCTGTGGTCTACGTAACTCTTAGGTGGCAGACACCAGACACACTTTGCTTACCACTGTGTCATTAATGTCCAGCAGCATCCAGAACATAGTAGAAAGGTGTAGAAAGGTGCTTGGGAAATATGCTGAGTGAATACTTAGCAGAGTAATAGCACAAGAAATTTGCCTTTTCCATAAAGTAGCATAGTTTTAGCTCACAATTGACTCAGACCCTACTGTTAAGAAATTATTACATCTTAGATGCCGAAGTGATGGCTCAGTGGTTAAGTATAGGCTGCTCTTCCAGAAGATCCAGGCTTGATTCCCAGTACTCACATTGGCAGCTAACAACCACATACTTACACACACACACACACACACACACACACACACACACACACACACACACTCACACATCATATATAACAATAACTTCAGTTCCAAAGGATCTGACACTCTCTTCTGGCCTCCTCAGACACTACACTCACATGATATAGGCATACATTCAGGCAAAACACCTATATACATAAAATAAATAAATCTTTAAGTGGGGGGTACCTGGAGAATTGGTACAATGGTTAAGAGCACATGTTGCTCTTGCAGAGGACCAGAGTTTGATTTTCAGCACCCATGTGGTGGCTCACAACCTGTTACTCCAGTGCCAGGGGATCCGAAGACCTCTTTTGACCTTCCCTAGCACCAGACATGCACATGGTGCACAGATACATGCAGGCAAAACATTCATGTACATAGAATAATAAAGTAAATAAATCTTAAGTAAGAAATTTGCTGGGCGGTGGTAGCACACACCTGTAAGCCCAGTCCTTGGGAGGCAGAGGCAAGCAAATCTCTGAGTTCAAGGCCAGCCTAGTTTACAGGACAAGTTACAGGATGGCCAGTGTGACACAGAAAAACAAAAACAAACAAACAAAAGAGAAATTAAAATTAAAAAAAGGAAAGAAACCATTATTCCTTAAGTGGTTACATCCAAGCCAGATAAGAGGACTGCTATATACAAATTTGAAGAGTTGATTAGGATTCAGTAATAACAACTAACAGCAGAGATCTCACTGTATCCTGTACTCCTACTACAATCAAATCAAGCCTAATAGGCAGGTATCACCGCCACCCTCATTTCACAGGAGAACTAAGAATGAGAAAGGTTGAATAATCTGCTAATGGTAATGATGGTAGTTAGAAAATTGTGCTCTAATATCAGCAAACACAAAACATTCAAGAACTGACTTCTCAAAATTCACATGAAAATATTTTTACTAAAGACCAACCTGCTATTATTTATTTGAAACATGGTTTTTGCTTGTGGGTGTATGAAACTTGTAAAGGATTATAAGAATTCTAGTTTCATCTGCCTTGCTCTATGAGCCAGAATTTTTTTTTTTTTTTTCCCTTTTTCTCAGTTTTTCAAGATAGGGTTTTTCTCTGTTTAACAGCTCTAGCTGTCCTGGAACTCACTCTTGTAGACCAGGCTAGCCTGAAACTCACTGAAATCCATCGGCTTTTGCCTCCCAAGTGCTAGGATTCAAGTCGAACGCCAACACTGGCTGAGCCAGAATTTTTTTTCCCCCTGAAAATTTGTGTGTTGGCAATAGTCATTAAAGCCAGAAGCAAGCTGAGTGGTGGTGGTGCACGCCTTTAATTCTAGCACTTGGGAGGCAGAGGCAGGCGATCTCTTTTGAGTTTGAGGCCAGCCTGGTCTACAGAACCAGTTCCAGGATAGGCTCCAAAGCTACACAGAGAAACCCTGTCTCGAAACCCCTCCCCTTCAAAAAAGAAGCAAATTGACCTTGGCTACCACATTCTGAAGTGACTGTACATAAAAGTCAACACTGCTTCTCTTTGAAGGATGAGGCATCCCACCCGAAGGTTCTGATGCTATGTTTTATTAAAAAAAAAAAAAAAAAAAAAAAGTACTGACTCACAAGTTTGTATTTTACAGATGTAAGATAGAATGGTCTCACCAATAGGTTGCTGAATAGGAACTAGAGGAATGTCAGAGAAGAAAAAGTAAATGGGGAAACTAAAATAGATGAGATACTGAAGCAAAGAGTTAGGAACACCTTAAGAAAGCCTGTACTCCTGCAGTTGTCCTGACTTCTGAGCCACACCAATGTTACCTCTGGCCCTTTAACTGCAAAGCAGAGATACAGCAGCTCAATATAAAGTTAGTTTTAAAATGTCTGTAACAAGATTTTGAAAATAAGTTTTGAAAATTAAGGCAACACATTAAACACAGTAATACCAGAAATTAGCATACTGCTTGGACATAATCTCCTAATTGAAAAGACAATTTAAAACAGAAAGCATGCATCTTGCATAAAGCCACAAGGATAAAGACAGCACTCAGTCTTCACTTTGCATAAATGTACCAAGCAGTTAGCAATAGCTACTAATTGTACACATTTAAATAAAAGTCTTTGTATATTATCTTAAAAGATTAATTGTTTAGAGTTTTGTCCTCTACAACTATTTAAGAGGAAAAACGAATGTGAAGGTTAACTTTTCTGGTAACATTCCCAAATGTGGGTGCAAAAATAATCTGGGCACGGAGGAAAGGCAGGCAAGACAAGACCAATAAGCAATTCTTTAAATTATATGACTTGTTGATTCCCATTTTACAACTCTTTCCTTAATATTTGAGTGAAATCTATCTCCTTCCTATTACCAATAGCTTTTCTTAATGATTCCATAAAAATTACTACAAAAAACAAAACAAACAAACAAAAAAACCTACTTGCTGAATAAAGAAAAAACATCTTATTTTGGGTCAGTCTTTTGTATCTATGGGTTTTATATCCACAGATTCAACAAGTTACATATCAAAAATATTTTGGGGAAACCCTGTATCCCTACTAAAAACATACAATGTTTTTCTTGCTATTCCCCTAAACAACATAGTATAACAATTATTTCCATAGCTCTTACATGATATTTGATATTTTAAGTATTCTAGAATGATAACAAGTATGCAGGAGAATTCATATAGATTCTATGCAAATACAATAGCACCTCACAAAAGGGACTTTATCATTAATGATTTTGGTATCATAGGCTCTTAGAACCAATCCCCTGCAGATACAAAGGGATGAGTATATGTTCTTCCATTACTAATGCTTCGATATATCTGTATAATAAGCAAGGTTGATTTCTTGTTGTTGCATAATATATGCACTCATTAGAGAACTTCTAGAAAGATGTTCAACATCAGCAGCAAAGCTTCCCTCCAAACCACTGAGGTCAGGACACAAGTGGTTTTGACTCAAACTAAAATTTTAGGGCCAGTTATAAGTAGCAGATTTTTTCTGCCTTAGACACAATACAAAAAGAAAACACGCCAGGCGGTGGTGGCGCACGATTTTAATCCTAGCACTCGGGAGGCAGAGGCAGGCGGATCTCTGTGAGTTCAAGGCCAGCCTGGGCTACCAAGTGAGTCCCAGGAAAGGGGCAAAGCTACACAGGGAAACCCTGTCTCGAAAAACCAAAAAAAAAAAAAAAAAGAAAAAAGAAAAAAGAAAAAGAAAACACTTGAAATGTATTTGTGTTCTGTAAGTGTGACATGCTGTCAGTGACTTTAAATACTTGCTGAAATTCCTCACACTGTCCATCTAACAAGAACCCCTCTCAGAAGGGTAAGGAACACTAGCAAAACAGTATCCATACGAAAAGGTCTGCACAACACTGTGTGGGGTAATTAGTAGGGCATGCTTCAGCACCAACAGTTTACACACAAACTCTGGCTTAAATACACCAATTAATAATTCATATTTCTCATTTGAAAAAGGTTAGATTGATGCTTCATGCATTCACAATCTTACAAAAGCATCTAGACTTCCTACAACCTAGAATTAACTAATTGTAATAAACATAATCAAAAGGGAAAGACTGCCAGGGCATGACACAACAAACACTGACACAGCATACTTACTAACTGTCCACCTCTATTCTGCCATCCCCAAACAACACCATCCTCTGACACTGGCAGCTGATAAGGGGTCTGTTCCAATGAAAATGAAGTATTTCCTAAGTACGGGGGCTTACTGTGTAGATCCTCACTAAAAATCTGTGCATCTTCTGTCATGTTTTCTGTGGCCGTGTTAGCCCAGAGATAGCCCACTTGATATCTATCACACCCACCTGCCAGTCCTTCCGAAAGTGCCTGACTTGCTAGCCCTCCCATCGGGTAATAGGAAAATTTATTCAAACAATGAGCATAGAATTCTTCTGGGATCCTGTGCCAATCCATTTCTGCGGGATTTTCAGATACATTTGGGATGTCCTCTGTAGGTGATGTAACACAGTCACCACTTGGCACTGCACATTCTTTATTATCTGCTGGGATGGCAGGAATTGCCTGGTGAGCATTACCAGGAGTAGCTGCAGGTATATCCACTTGCATTGAGTCAACATTAATAAAAGAGGAACACCCCTCAGAAGTGTCACATAATGCTATTTTTTTTAAAGTTGCCTCAGAGTTTCCTGAAAAATGTTTCTCTCCATTTAAAGTGAATTCTTTAACTGTAGACTGGGTGTTTCTTCTTTTCATGTGACGTGGGCCTAAGCAGCCAATGCTGTCAGGATCAATACTGTCTTTATCCAAACAAAGTCTCTCTTTCTCTTCTTTGCATGTTAGTTTTTGTTTGCTCAATTCTGATGCATTGTTACCTTTAATTGATTCAGAGTTAATGAAATGCAGTTCTGGGCCTTTGTCATTATTAACCCACTCCTTGGCATGTGACACTGGACTGTGGTTTAAAGGGGGCACAACAGTAAGGTCGGGGTATTCATTCACTCCATCAGTTTTGTAACTATTTTCAATCTCATTAGTTTCACAAACAGGATCTGCTGCTATGTCAGAACCAATACAAGTTACCGTGTTCCCACTGGGCACGACTTTACATTTAAGAACACTTGTTTCCCACTGAAAGATTGTTTTAGCATCTGACTTGGCATTTTCTATGTCCTCCTCACTGATCTCTCTATAATTAGCCTTCTGTGGTACCTTTTCAGCCTTTTCTAGTACATAGGGCCCACTAGACTGGCTATATACTGTACCAACTAAGCTCTTCACATGTCCTTTATCTCCTGTGTTATCATGTAGAGCTGTTTCCCTTGATTCAGAATCAGTACAGGTTAAAATGAATGCAGGGGGTGTTTCTGGGCCCTGAAGAGATCTGGAGTGATCATGAGACTTGTCACTTGGTATTCTTTGTGAAAGTTCAAGCTTCAGCAGATCTGTCTTCTGGACCACCCCTTCTGTGCCTGGTTCACATTCCACTTGAGTTAAATCATGGGCCTCTGTCTGAGCCTTGTCTGCCCTACTACCTACACAGAGGTCTGCCTGATACCAACATTCCAACTCTCTCTTGCAATCGCTCTCGGTCTCTAAAATGCTCCTTCTATCTTCATCTTGATAAGCGGAACCATTTTCAGAACACAAGAATATCTCACCTCTGTTTGCCTGCTGGACACTTCCAGTTTCCATACTGCCATCCCCCAGCTGATGCTCCTTCATTAGCACTGGCTCCCCTTGGAGTATAGGATGAGGGCCAGCAGGTTTGCTCAAGGCAACTTCTCTGAGATTAGCATGAACTGGGAGATGCTCATTACCTGACCGCTCTGAAACTAGCCTTTGGGGGCTTAAATTAATCTTATCTAGACCAAAGGAAAGAATCCTATCTGGCCTGTTAACACTGATGTGAAAATAATCATTGCCTTCTAATAACTTTTCAGAGTCAGGCTCTCTTTCCATTTTAGAGTTTAAACTTTGGCCAGCACTAACTGTTATAGCCTCAGGTTCACCATTCCCATCAACATATGAAATGTCATTAAGTAAATTAACAAGTGAATCATCCACCTGACTTCCTATTCCTGAAACATTGCTCTCTCTTTCTTCAGATCTAGCACTCGAACACTTTAATGAGTCACTGCCTATGTTAATATTTAATTCAGGGAGTAGGCCAGTATTATGTAATGTACGATGTTCTGTGTGATCTTTAGGGAATTTGGCACAAACTTTTGCCCTTAGAGACTCAGCTTGCGGGTCACTGATGTGTGCTTCATCAGATGGATCACGGTCCACCAAAATATCAGAACTATATTCACTTTTCTCGATACATGCTTCATTTGTTTCACAGGGGCGTAGGACATCCTGGGGTAACAGTTCTTCATGCTGCAGCTTTAACTCTTCTGCCCTCTGTACGGCATCTGAGGCAGCATATTCTTCCCTGTTATCTAAGGGCCAATCCACTTGGAAAACTTCATAAGTGACAGCTGGATGACATTCTTCTGCAGCTGCTACATACATGGGAGTGTACAGTTCCTCTTCCATGTTCAAGCAGTCCAGATCTATAGCACAAATACTGTAAAATTTGCTCTCCCTTGAATTCTTACAGGGTTTGTCACCAACACAAATATGGCTTTTACTTTGCAACTCTCCAGCAGAAACATCTACAGAGTTATTCTCATTAAAACTACTGATTTGAACATTTAGTACTTTTTCTTTCTCTATTAAAGAGTTTTTACAAGTGGCCAGGTAACACTGCAGATGGTCACTTACAAAAGTTTCCTCCTGCTGGTCAGAAGGCATGGGCACATGTGAGGAAGGCTGGTCATCTTCAGAACAAGCCTGTCCATCACTACTCACACACAGTGGGTCACTGACAATCTCAGAATTCTCTTCAATAACAACATTATCTAAATTCTTGTCACCCTCATCTAAATTTTCAGACCCATAAAAGAACTCATATGTGGGAGAGGAATCAGAATTCAGTGACTGCTTTGATCTATGATCCTGTTTGTGCCCAGACCTTGTAAAAACTCTAGTCCACACAGTGACACCAGCGGGTGCTCGGCTGGGTCCATTTTCAACATTGTGAAGCTCCTCACCTTCAAGGGTATCAAATAATGAAGATAAAGTTTTACTTATCTTGTTCTCCGGTTTCTTCTCTTCCACAGATTTTTGTAACAGGCCAATTCTCTCATTGTCATTGTCACTACTTAATTCTTTGCTGAAGCAACAGCCCATATCGAAAGTTCAAAAACTCACATCACAATGCTTGTCCTTTTCTGAGCTTCTACAAATACAACTCACACTAACTTGCTATCGTTTCTGAAAAGAAGCCAACACACAGTACCAAAAATAACTCCTTGCACAGCAGTCACATGTTACTGCCACTCAAATCCAAATCCTAATGACAACAGAGCCCTGCCTGGCATTTATCAGACTCCTTGTGCTGAAATCCAAACGGCACATGGAATGTAAAGGTGCAGAACAGCAGCGAGGGGGAGAGGGGTAGAAATATACATGTGGCTTTTTTCTTATTTTCATAAACTTAATTCTTAAAAACAACAAGTTATAAGCATAGCCAGAAGAAATTTCAAACTTCTAGTCTTTGTTTTTTCAGTGTTTCAGTATCTCCTGGATTATATTTCATAAGATAGTGGCCACCAAAGAATTCCCTTTAAAGAAAACAACACCAGTAACTTCAGCATTTACAGCTACTAGACTGCCAGGGAACACAGTGGGCGAGGGTGCTTGCTGTGCAAACCTGAGAACTTGAGTTCAAGGCCTTGATGGAACGTCCGACCTGCACATATTTGCTGTGGCACGGGTACACTTGCACTCTTACTTACACACACACACACACACACACACGATAATAAGAATACATTTTACATTCTACAGCTACTTAAAAGTTTAATCTTGCCAGGTGTGGTGGCACACGCCTTTAATTCCAGCACTCATGAGGCAGAGGCAGGTGGATCTCTGAGTCTGAGGCCAGCCTGGACTACAAAGTGAGTTCTAAGACAGTCAAGAAAGAGAAAGACAAGAAAAAGACAGGGAAACCCTGTCTCCAAAAACCAAAAAAAAAAAAAAAAATCCTAAAAGCACTATATACTGCTAAAAATATTTAAACTGTAAAATACTGGTCTAAAAGCAGGCAATTGTCATTTTTAAACCAAATGCAAGTATTGGCTATTTTCAGACCATCAAGCTTTCTGACTGTGAGCCTACGTATTCAATATGCAGACATGTAGTAATTGATCTAAACATTCACTCAGAAACAGTATCATCAAAAGGCATAATTTGCTGATGAGTAGGGTGGAGTGCAGGAGGTTAAACCATAGCCTTGCATAAGCTAAGCAAGCACTCTCCCACTGAGCTACATCCCAAGACAGTTCCTTTAGTTAAGTTCTCTTATCTTGTTATCTTTAAGTAGTTTTAAAGGATTATTTCTAATTGGGCCAGTAAGATGGCTTAGTAGGTAAAGGCAGTGGCTGCCAAGCCTGACAATTCAAGTTTGATCCTTGGGACTAACACTGTGAAAGGAGAACTGACTCCCCTAATTTGTCCTCTGACCTCTACATACACGCTATGACATGTGCAGACATGTGTGTGTACATATACATATAAGGAATAATTAAATGTAATGAAATGCTTGAGATCATTATGAAATAATTCAGGTTTTATTGAGTTGTCTATAGTTTAGTGCATAAGAAGGATCAAATTTCCATATCACAATTAGAAAAGACATGGCACTTCCCAGAAAAACAAGCACTTCCACTAATATTACTTGTCCTTACACATCTTTCTCAAACAGCATCTTTGCTCATTTATGTTGAAATGCAACAGAATCATTACAACAGAAAATGGGCCTGAGGCCAAAGTAGTTCCGCTAAGAACACTGAGGCAACTTGGCTGCAGGAAGGTAGTAGGATTTAGAACCTGAACCCTTGCTTCTTGCCTCTCCTGCTAGGATGACAGTCATTGGCAAGCACACCCAGTTGATACAGTACTGAGGATCTCTCCCTACAAGGGAGGCAAATCCTCCATCAACAGAGCTATATATATTCAGCTGTTTCCTTATTCTCTTACTACTTAGGATTTGACTTGTATACTCTAAAAACAATCATCAAAATGTAAAGCTAGTCATTACACACACAATTAACAGAATTCAGATGAACTGAGAACACTATCATGAATACCTGAGAATAAATTAATATATCTGACACTTCCACGTGAAAAAGAGACAATATACAACACACTCAAGAGCACAGTGTCAAATGGGTCCTCCTTTTGAGAAACATCTACATTTTTCTAAGTTTTTTTTAACAATACATATTTGGGATCATGCTATATCTGGTACTCTTGGCTGTGGCTAGACAATCTGTGATAAATCTAGAAAATGAATTACCTGAGTCAAAGCTGGGATGGAGCTTGTTTGAGAAGTGGTTTGCGATATAGGACCATTCATCTGTAAAATTGAAAGCATCAAAAACTCCATCATTCTAACATAAAGAAAACACAATTTCAAACCATAGTAATTAAGTAAAGCCAAACTCATTTTTAAAAGAATGCATGTTTTTACATAGCAAAGGAAATTTATGAATAAGTACATTCAGGAACAGAAGAGCCTTGAAATGTATGATTTTAGAAGTTTTAGGTAAATTTCTGATAGTTTCAACTGGGGTGATTTTAAAAAGCTACTTTTCCCAATACTACTTAGAAACTTCAAATATTATTGCTTCACAGGATTCAATTTCTTTTTTGGTTTTTTATTTTTGTTTAGGTTTTTTGAGACAGGGTTTCTCTGTGTAGCCCTAAGTGTCCTGGAACTCACTCTGTAGACCACCAGGCTGGCCTCAAATTCACAGAGATCGAATTCACCTGCCTCTGCCTCCTGAGTGCTGGGATCAAAGGTGTGCCATCACCACCAGCTAGGATTAAGTTTTAAAAGATTGATTATTTATATATACACTCATGTATGTATTTGCACTTGTGTGAAGGTGCCCTCAGGGGCCACTGGATGGCCTGAAGCTGCAGTTACAAGAGGCTATGAGCCGCCTAGGGTGGGTGCTGGGGACTCTTAAACATTGATCCATCCTTCTAGTCCAGGATTAAAATTCAAAGGTAGCCAAAACAAAAAGTATAATAAAATCCTAATTAACTCTTCAAATATACTTTACTATAATGCCTGTGATGTTAGTAAGCTGTTTAGTTTTAAAGCTATTTTATGTGCATCTGGGTGATTTGCATGCATGGATGTCTATGTACCACATGCATGCCTGGTACCAATGGAGGTCAGAAGATGGGTCTGATCCCTTGGAACTGGAGTTATAGATGGTTTTAAGTCATGATGTAGATGCTGGGAACCAAACCCAGGTCCCCTGCAAGGGCAACAAGTACTCTTAACTATGGAGTCATGTCTACAGCCCACATTTTCTTTTATTATTTATTATTATTTGTGTGTTAAGATATGCTTACAACATGTGTGGGGGTGGGTGGGTGTCACAGTGTGCATATGAAGTCAAAGAACAACTTTCATGAATTGCTTCTCTCCTTCCATTGTGGAATATGGGAATCTAATTCAGATTGTCGGGCTTATGTGACAACTGCTTTTACTCACTTACTGGCCCCAAATTGCATTTTCTTGATACAAATCTTTAAGTACCTAAAGTCACAGGCGTCTTTTGTTTTCTGTATCACCTAGTAGTACAGTGGTTCTTAACCTGTGAGTCATGATCCCTTTGGGGTGGCATATCCATGATTCATAATAGCAGCAAAATTATAGTTATGAAGTAGCAATGAAAAAATTTTATGGTTGGGGGATCACCACAACATGAGGATTATTAAGGGGTCGCAGCTTTAGGAGGAAGGCTGAGAACTACTGACCCAGTACTTTCAGTTTCTGCTACTAAAGCTGCACAGTTTCAGAAGGACAGAGTTCAGTCTGAAATATTAGAACTTGCTGTTTGAGGGAGTTGCAGAGTATCTTTCACTACTTTCTTAAGTACACCATAAAACAAGCTGATTTTCCTTTGAAAATAGGTCGCAAGGCCCTCATTCCAGAGAGTGTCCAGTCTCTTACTAGAGACAGCAATGTCCCACACAGATGCCAAGACAAACCTGAGCAGGCCTAGGTTCATGTTAATACCATCGTATCACACCATCTTTGTACAAGTGTGCATCTGTTATCAGATGGAGCACATTTTGCTCTGTAGGTCTTTACCTCTAACTGCTAAATAAATGTCTGTCTGTCTGTCTGTCTGTCTGTCTCTCTCTCTCTCGTTTTTCGAGACAGGGTTTCTCTGTGTAGCTTTGGAGCCTTTCCTGGAACTCACTTTGTAGCCCAGGCTGGCCTTGAATTCAGAGATCCACCTGCCTCTGCCTCCCAAGTGCTGGGATTAAAGGCGTGCATCACCACCGCCCAGCAAATGTGCTTCTCTTAATGTAGGGATCTCAGTCAGGAACACTGGATAAATAAGAAGTCCTTTTGCCTTTGTCAAACTGTTATTATTTGATACACTTGTTCTAACAATCTTCTTACATCCAATGTAGAGTTCTAGATCAGAAAAAGAAATGGATGCCTGTGGCCTCCCTCCCCCGCCTACCCCCCAACAACACCTACCAGATGAGAGCTATCCTTGCCCTCCTGGACTCGCTGTGCCTGCGGTTCAGCCACAACTTTAGTGTCCTGATCAGAAGTCATGGGCTCCACTGGAGAAGTATAATGCTAACCTCAGGACGCTGGAAAAGGACAGAGAGTGAAAGGGTCACCTGAGAAGCACATTTTTGTTGTTTTAGTTTTGAGATGGTCTAACTCTATAATGCAAGTTAGCCTAGAACTGATTATATAGTCCAGGCTGCCTCAGTTTCCCCAGTGCTGAGATCCCAAGTACGAGCCACTACACCCAGCATTATGACTAATACTTAAAGTAAAGTAAGTAAGTCTGAAACTTACTTACTAAGTCTGAAAACGCTTGAATCTTCTAGAATATTTGTTAACCCTTCTGGATTCCAAGTAGTTTAGAAACATCTGCCCAGAACACTCATGTTATTCACTGAGTCCTTAGCAAGTTTCTCCTTCAGACTAACCAGGTGAAAGTGACATCAGAAAACTTGGAAACTGTGTGCTAACACAGAAAAACCCAGGAATTCATCTTAAAACATAAAATTGAGGAGTTACTATTCAAGGCACATGAGGAATATTCATAGCTTGAGAGTAAAAACCAAATAAACTAATTTCAAAAATGGACAAAGAATTAAGCGCCACCCTCCTTCAATGGAAAATGACAAACACACATACTTAGACATTCAA